CAAATATAATAATATTAATCTTCAGATTTTTTGTTAGTGTCTTTAATCGTATATTTGCCGTACTATATAAATAATTTTTGAAATTAGTTATTTGTATAATCGATATAAATTTTTTTTTTTTTTTTTTACAACAATAATAAACACAATAACATACATTTTTCTCGGGATCATAGACTTCCCATCGACTTGCTGGAAAAATATGTTTATTTTTTTCATACCAATTTCGTTCAACAACCTTACCTGCATGTGACTATCATTTTTAATTAAAATAATTAATTCTTATTACCAATATATTGACAGAAAAATAATAATAATAATAGTAATAATAATAATCAAAAATTCAAAATACAAACCTCATCTTTTTCGACTGTAGCATCATGTGTTAAACGAACGTCATCATGAACATCAAAACTAAACAAAGGGCCAGATTTCCCTCTTGCTTTATTTATGATGAAATCGTAGAATGTGTAATGCTATTTGAATAAAAAAAAAAAAAAAAAACTTTTTTTAGTGGCAATAGAAACATTGAACGTAAAAGATACAATAGAATTTTAAAAATATTCGCATACATGTGGAATAATTAAATCTTCCTTAACATAAATCAGGTTATCAACGCTAACTCCGCGCAACTCATGAAATTGCTGCCGACATTTTTCTAAAAAACTTGCGATAGAATCGCCTTTCTTACAAGATACAGTTTTTCGATGACCAGTACCGTCCCAGTAAGAATATGTGACACTAATTTTTTCATCTAATAAGAGATGAAATTTGATTGAATTAAAAAAAAAAAAGAGCTATATATAAAAATTACACAAGATACACAAAGCGGATCCAAACTTTTGATTTCTTCCTGTTTCCGTAACCATTCTAGTCGTAGCTGCTCCCTTTCCTTACGTTCATCCTCTTCTCTATCACGATCAGGCAAGAATGATGTGTCTACGTTAGGATTTTTACCTAGTTTTGGTTTTTTCTTTGATGATGTATCCGATTCTCCTAGGATTAGATATTAATATTA